AGCAGCCCTCAGTCAGAGCAAGAAGCAGTCAGGTAAGTTGCAGAGCTCCCCCCGGTCCAAAACAGTCCAGTGGCACCTTTAAGACCAAGTTTTATTCAGGCACAAGCTCTCCCTCCTCTGTGAGGACAGATCTGCACGTCCCCCCCCCAATAGCTAGCAATCCAAAACAGTCCAGTGGAGCCTGAGCGGTGGGTGTTGCCTTCTGACACACTTCCGGTGATGTCAGGGGGTGTGGCATATGCAAATAAGTTATGCTAATGAGTTATGCTAATGAGTTATGCTAATGAGTTATGCTAATGAGCTCCTGCACCCCTTTTTCTACAAAACGACCCCTGATAATAACTGTGTGCAATCAAGTAGCACCAACTCATGGAGACCCCATGGGATCTTCAAGGCAAGGGATGAAGTTTGCCATTGCCTTCCTGGGCATAGCACTCCCGGTCTTCCACAGTGGTCTCCCATCCAAGTACTACTACCCAGGGCTGATCCAGACTAGCCTCCAGGCTCTGACAATATCAGGCTAGTCTGGCCTGTTAGGCTGCTATTCCACAGAGTGTGCAAATATCAGTCTGCAGGCTGAGGTGGTACAGTTCTAGAAAAATACTTTTTGACCCTTCGATCAAAGGCCCAGTTCCCTCACTCCAGCTTGTTCCAGTTTGATTTCCAAGCCATTTAAAGAATGAACAAGACCCCTACACCCCCAGCCTCAGTGGTTACTTAGCAACTGAGTTGCCTGTGCTCATGGTACCATGACCAGCCCTCGGGGCTCATGGGTAGGTATTGCAGTACCCACCCACTAAGCCAGTCACAGCCTGTTCTGGTTTAAGGCCAGCAGCAGCGACAAGGTGCAATCTGCCCAAACCTGCTTCAGGAGCTTGCTGAGCCTGTAAGAGCCGCTGTACATGAAACAGCACATTCATGTCCAGGCTGAAGCACACTTTGTCACAGCTGACTGATATTTCCCCTTCCCCTGTTCCTCCCCCGTCCCCTGATAAAACTGGCCATAGTGGTCCAAAGGGACAAACAAAAAACTTGTGCAACAAACCCTGCACTACTAAACAAGAGATAAAAATTCAGGATTGCCTGCATCAACTTTATTCTACATAATTCATACCCCATGTATACCTTGTGCAGCGCTCTCCTTATACAACATCCTACCAAAATTACAGTCCCAAACCTGATTTGGTTTAATTTTTAAAGGGAGGAGGTGGAGGAGAGTTGAGCAGAGTGGCTTACAATCTCCTTTCCCTTCCCCTCCCCACAACAGACACCCTGTGAGGCAGGTGGGGCTGAGAGAGCTCTTTCGAGGACTGCTCCTGAGAGAACAGCTCTGATGAAAGAATTTATAATTGACCCAAGGTCACACCAGAAGCTGCATGTGAAGGAGTGGAGAATCAAACTGGCTCTCACTAACATTTGTGCTATATTCTTTATTATAATTGTCTGGACATCAGGTTATATCTTCCATTCTAACCAACTCCCCACTGCACCACTATTTTTACTTGCTTTATGACATTATATAGTCCCAAGTATCCCAGAAAAAAGAAGGTCCCGTGACTTACAAATCCACATTTTAAAAAAATGTACTCTTGCAAAGATATCGGCAAAATTCTAGAATGGCAAACAGCAGACTGTGCATCTCCCTCTCTCTCTCCCTCTCCAAAGCATACCCTCCACAGCCTTGAAAGGTGGGAACACGAATGAATAAGAAACATAGAAACAGCAGTAGAGGAGCAGAGACAGAAATACATGTATTAACAAGTTGAACCTACTACATCAGGGACCTAGGTTGAAACCCCTACTCATCTCTGAGGCTTATCGAGTGACCTTGAGCAACTAACTAAATCTCAGCCTGTTTTAATATGATTGTTGTGAAGAGAAAATGGGATAACCCTGGAGGAATGAGGTGGTTACACATGTGACAATTAACTAAATCAACTAACAGCCACAGGACATAAGAAAACATGAAAAATCATAACAGAGCTCCATTGGTACAGTTACCCTTATGAGTGGGGACATCTCCACCCATGGCTAGGACTCCACACATGCTGCATCAGACCAATGATCACAAGAACATAAGAAGAGCCCTGCCGGATCAGACTAGAGGTCCAGTGTCCTGTTTCACACAGCAGCCAACCAGTTTCTCGAGAGCCAACAGGGCACAGAGGCCAAGGCCTTCCCTAATGTTGCTTGGGTTTCAGAAATGTACTGCCTCTGAATATAAAGGTTCCCTTGACTAACCATAGCTAGTACCCATTGATGAACCGGTCCTCCATGAATGTGTCATACCCCACCCCCACCCTACCCTTCAAAAGGGAATTACGACTTCAAGGGGGAATTAGATAAACATATGGAGCAGAGGTCCATCAGTGGCTATTAGCCACAAGGTATAGATAGGAACTCTCAGTCTGGGGCAAGTGATGCACTGTGTTCTTGGTGCTTGGGGGGAGGCAACAGTGGGAGGGCTTCTAGTGTCCTGGCACCTGCTATTTTTGGCCACTGTGTGACAGAGTGTTGAACAGGATGGGCCACTGGCTTCTCTTATGTCCTTATGCCCTTTAAACATCTGTGCTTGTGGCCATCACTACCTCCACTGAGTGTGAATGACACAATTTCATTACTTGTTGAGTAAAGAGTTTCCTTCTGTCTGTCCTATAGTCCATCTAGCCCAGCATCATGTTTCCCATAGCAGCCAATTAGGTGCTCCTAGACGGCTTACATGCAGGGCATGGAGGCCACGTCCCTCCCCTGTTGCTGTACACCAGCAACGCTATTCAAAAGATTAATTCCATTTTTGTTCTTACTGTCCCATCTATCTATCTGGGGAAGGGCTCAGTGGTAGAGTATCTGCTTGGCATGCAAAAGGTCCCAGGTTCAGTCCCTGACATCTCCAAGTAAAAGCATTAGGTAAAAAGCGATGTGAAACATCTCTGTCTGAGACCCTGAAGAGTCACTGCCAGTCTGAGTAGACAATACCAATGGTCTGATTCAATAGAAGGCATCTTCATGTGACCAGACTAAGAGACAGTGTCGCCTCCTAGTCAGACTAAGATTTAGGACACCCAGGTTCATAAACCCACTCAGCTCAACCTTGGGCCTGTTACCATCTCTCAGCCTAAACTAATGGAGGTGCGAACAAGAGGAGGAAGGACAGAACTAAAATAAAAAAGGACATAAACACAACCCAGGGTACTTTCTTTTATGATAATCCCTCAGTACTTACCAAACACACAGGAAATGCCAAGCCTTAAGATTGTGGCCACTTGGTGATGGGAAACATACACACATACTGCATACCGAATTCAGTACAAAACCACTTAATCTCCTTAGCTAGGTAGGGCTTGCTTAGATGTTTAATTGCATAGGGGTTTTTTGAAATGCAGAGACACTGCACTAATTTGATATGGCCAGAATTATACTTTTTACACATATGGCTGTGCAGTACAAGAAATTATACTGCACTGGTGCGACTCAGAGGAAGAATGCTACTGGAAATATGGTGGACATGTCACTCATAAAGTAGGGCTTTAGTTGGCAGTGTCGCCTCCTAGTCAGACTAAGATTTAGGACACCCAGGTTCATAAACCCACTCAGCTCAACCTTGGGCCTGTTACCATCTCTCAGCCTAAACTAATGGAGGTGCGAACAAGAGGAGGAAGGACAGAACTAAAATAAAAAAGGACATAAACACAACCCAGGGTACTTTCTTTTATGATAATCCCTCAGTACTTACCAAACACACAGGAAATGCCAAGCCTTAAGATTGTGGCCACTTGGTGATGGGAAACATACACACATACTGCATACCGAATTCAGTGCAAAACCACTTAATCTCCTTAGCTAGGTAGGGCTTGCTTAGATGTTTAATTGCAGAGGGGTTTTTTTTGAAACGCAGAGACACTGCACTAATTTGATATGGCCAGAATTATGCTTTTTACACTTATGGCTGTGCAGTACAAGACATTATACTGCACTGATGCGACTCAGAGCAAGAATGCTACTGGAAATATGGTGGACTTGTCACTCATAAAGTAGGGCTTTAGTTGGCTTCTGTTTGAAATGAAGCTTTGTCATAGGGCCTGCATGTATGAGAATTGCTGAAGGATTATAAACTGTGTTTTGGGTTTTTTAACAACATAAAAAAGCTATCACTGAAACCTTTTTTTTCCCTAGTCATCTGCCTGAACTGACTGCCTAAGCTAATACTTTTTTCACTGTTCGGTTTCAATTCTACAGCTCAAATTTTATCCACAGTACAGACTGCTCTCCCTCAGCACACTTGTGGGAATCATCATTTACTGGGGAGAATAGCTGCCCCCCACCCCAAGCACTAAATCATTACTCCGGAGCAGGGGTGGCCAAACTTGTTTCACATAAGAGCCACATAGGAAAAAAATGTCAGATGTTTGAGAGCCACAAGACATGAACACACACATTTTTCTTGAAAAATATACATATTTGCATATTAAATTAAAGAGACAAATGCCATCTCCAAGCCAAG